ATTCTGTCTGTCCTTTGCAGAAAATTTATTTACATGATTTCTTTGCTTACCTTTATTGCCAAAGTTAGGTTAGTTCGACCATTTAATAGGCGTCCAAATCTCGATCTAATGTTCCTCGTAAAATCATTTAGTAGAATATTCTTACGAAAATTTCAAATTGAGAAAATAAGTTTACATCTGCGAATTGAAGTCGTTAACGACAAAAAACCAAAATACAGATTCATGATGCTTTACTACCTGCCGACGTCATAAAGTCAAGTATTTTATGCAGATGCCGATTTCCGAAAAGCCTGGCAGCGAATCGCGGAAAGGATATACTACAAAGAGCATTTTATATAACAACTTATAGTAGTTCCTTTTGACTTTTGAGGTTCCGTCCATCATTTAACAATTAAACAATGTCTGGCGTTTATTTGTTCACCAATCAAATCCTTTAGCAGAATTGCTTGGTTTTCTCAGCATTCTTAGCTTATCTTGAAATTATCGCACCCCGCACATAATCGGGAATATACGTTCTTTAACCGCGCTGCCTGCATTTTAAACAAACCACCTGTAATGATCGCTTCAGTTGATCGTTCATAAATATCCCTCGTTCCATGTATAGTGGACATGGCCTGAGTTCCTGAGTCCAAATAAAACAAAAAAGCAAAAGTTCGCCTATTAGTTTAATTAGATAGAATGTATTGCCGACTTTCAGACGTGAATCGCATTGTAATTGCTTTCAAATGCTTTCATCACTGTGATATATATAATCTCTTATGTTCAGTTGTTGTGTTCCTATATCCGCAAGAAAACATTAGAATGCTTAGATTCGTCAAAAACTGTCCAAAAGTAGTTTCCGTCAACTGCGGCTCAACTGCAAAGAAAAAGAGTTACATTTCACAGTGGCAAACTGCCACTGTGCCACCTATGTGGAAAATGGGACATGCTGTGTTATGACCATTGCAGCCTTGTTCAGTGGCTATCTGAATAATAGTTAGCTCTCTAAATGCGCAAAGTTCTGCGAATAATAAAATCTCAACTATTGGTGGGGTTTTCTTCAGTTTTTTGTTTCGCTAGTCCAGTAGTGCTCTAAATGAGGACTCAGCGGATCGCGAGAAAAGATTAAAGAAAACGAATGAAAAGTGTAGAGGGAAAATGTTAATGAAGATTCTTTGTATCTGCACAAAAAAAAAGAAAAGAAATCAGAATTACTTTCTTGCCAAGCTTTTTTAACTTTTTTTATTTTACATTTGTTTTGTTTTTCTAACTGTCAGGAACCGATTTAAATATTGTGATTATGCTTCTTTTCTACATAATTTATTATTATCATTAATTTAGTCAGAGAAATAAATTCGAAGACTAAAATCTTAAAGCACTAGCATCTAAGGCTTTATTAAAAACTCTACCACATGACTGTTGAGTTGTTGGCCTGGGATTCTTTGCCCTCGGCCACTCAGGCGGATTTTACATAGTTTGAAAAGATTTTAATATTTTGCAAAATTTTTCGTTCTTTTAAAATAAAAAAAAAAAGGAATATTTGTTTCCTTCTTTTTTTTTTTTTTTTTTTTTTTTTTTTGTTAGAAGCATTGCAACTTTGTAAAAGGAAATATTGCTATAAAAAAGGAATCACGTTCGTACGAAGGAAAAGACATTTTTAATCGTTCATATATACTAATAGCAGTACACACGATCGCACATACAATCGATTCTGCAACAATCAATAATCACTAAACTTCGGTCTTGAGAATTCAGTTAAGTGGAAAGAAATTTATAAAAGCATAGCAGCAAGAATAATGAACAACATCTTCAGAAGTGCAACAACTATTTCTTTCCCTTTGATTGCAATTCTTTTTCCGTTCAGCGCAAAAATTAAATTTAAAAAAAAAAAAGTCATTTCTATATTCCTCATGCAACGGCATATAAATTTTATCAAGACGTTCGTAACATCCGTATACCATAGAAGAAACGTATGCATGCTCGATTAGTGGTGCCGTTTAGACATGCTTTTGGGGGTGGTTGGAGTGTGAGCAGAATTTTTTGTGAAAACTCTCTGAGAGTCTGACATGAGATTCTGAAATAATGTTGAGCGCAAAATTTTCACACATCGAATTTATGAATACACAAAATACAGAACAGTACCTATCCATTTAATATGAAAAAGAGGAAGCTCCTTATCGACTTAGCAACTATGCAGTTTGTTAATTATAAGCATATGAAAAACGCGACTACCGAAGAACCATTATTGAAACGATTTCGTAAATGTCTTTAAAAAATATTTATACGAAATTTTCAACAAAGTCTTATTAAACATACGTAGACACTACGTATCAAATCGAAGACATCTACTTGAAATTATAAGCAGATCCTTTTTCAAACTTGAGCTGTCGCCACTTCCAAGCTTCATCTTTCTAGCTCAGTTTTGATAATAAGCAGCGTTATAATAAAAAAATTGAGGTACAAGAGGATTTTGTAAAAATTAGTTGAAAAATATACGGTAGTCGACAAGTGTCCGATTGCTGTTCTGAGGGTTTTAAATTAAAGAGCAACTGTAATTATATTTCATACATATTTACTATAAAACTTTAATTTTCCATTATGAAGTGCTGTTGTGTCAGTCTTCGGTGCGTCTTAAAAGAAAAGCAGAAAAAAGGAAATTACTATGGTATTGTGTAGAGTATTTTATACAGTTAGACTTTGCCGGGGCAAAAGCATTTGCTCTTTCCTAAAATTATATACGAGGACAGTAAGGGATATAAAAGATATATCGATGATCAGAAATTAATGATGTAGGGGAAGCTATTGTAAAAGTTAATTCAAAGTGATAATTATCTGGCTACTGGCAGGCATACGAAAAGAGAATCTTACTTAAGCATAATTTTTCAGGCAAGACTTTCGGATTTTCCTATTAATAATATTGCCTTATAAACGATCCATTTAAATTGTTCGTGTCATAGATAGTTTTTGAAAAGAATTGCAAAACTTTTTCGTAAATGTTTGTATGCGGTCAGGTTGGACGAAAGGAGACATTTAGTTCAATTTAAAACACTGAAGACATTTATTGCCTGATTGTTACGAAAGTACCTACCCACCTCAAGCGAATTCCTTACAATCATGAGGTGTTTTTTTTTTTTTTCATTGGGTGAATTGTGAACGCTTTGTTAAATCGATCGTAACGGAATTTTTGTTTAAAATTCATAAAAATTTGTGGCAAATTTTGAATCGACATTTGCTGCAGCTCATAGGTTATTAATATTTTGAAATTTTTTTATACCCACCACTAAAAGATAGAAGGATATTCATTACGTCAAAAGAAAGCTTCAAGTATATATATATTTCTTATCAGCATGATATTCTTAGTCGATCTAGGTATATCCGTTTTGAGAAACATTAAAAATATTTGCACCCAAATTGTTTTTAAAAATAGAACAGCTTGACCAAAGGTCACGTAGCTTGGTAAATGAGTGACGGTAGATATACAAGATTTAACCTTAGACGAATATAGTCTTGTTACTTGCTTAAGGTGACAAGAGTCATCAAAGGTCATCAAGGTGTTTTTTATTTATGCTGGAATAAAAAGCAGATGTTAAATATCAAATTAGCATTGTGCGGCGGATAATTTCCCAACCACGGGAAGCATTGAGATCAAATGTCTCGCTTGTTTTGCTTTGTTATTTAACGCCGTAACGAAGCGGGACGTTAAGTAGTGAATGTAGCGAAAAGGAATAAAAAATAAATTATCATGAAAATATTTCGAGGACGAATTTTATTTCGATCCCATTGAAAATACGATACAATGGAGCTTGTAAACTCTTTTTGAAGGGCCGCGATAGAGTTTCTTTTAGCTCAAGCGCATAATGTCTAGATGGAACGCCCACCGTAACGTAAAGGGATATTTCAAAGCAAAGTATTTAATTAGATTACCTAAAAATTGTTCTACTCACATAGGCGTAAGTTGCCCGCTACTCAAAGGCATTTATCGATGGAATATGCGAGTGATACTAATGCTTCGAAATGCTTGAGTGTTATGTTCTTTTTAAATTAAACTGTCAACGGCTGCAGTATTAAAATGCTTTAGGAAAGATTCTTGAAAATACCAAAAGTCAGGGAGAAGTTAATCTGCTGTTGTTGTTGTGATCCATTTCAAGGGCTATTAGAAAATATCGGCCCAGCAAAACTAAAACAAACAGCATACGTATGAGGAGAAATGCCGTAGAAACTGTCAAAATTTATTCTGGAACGATTAGAACACAATGGCTTTACAACGGCACCGCGGCTGCCAATGCACACTGCAAGCAAACTTTAAACGCCGTACATTTTGCTCTTGTATCTGCTAATTACAGCTAATATCAATAGATTTGTTTCTACTTTTTTTTATACAATTTATAAATAATTCGTGGCCTTCGATTTTCTTTGATTTCACCGAAAATATTTGTAGAATCCATATTTGCTTTGTTCGTTACCATTTAATTCATAACCAGGTGTTCGTTGCTTCGTGGCTTTTTTTTATCAAATACACCTTATTAGATAACATTTCTTTCACTGTTAAATTAACTGTAAATTATACCTTAAACGTTTTTCATCGATGCACACTATAACTAGTAGGTTGGTTTGTAGTACAAAAAAAAAAAAAAAAAAAAAAAATTAAATTAAATAAATAAATAATAAAGTTGAAGTACATACGGGATTTAATGTATCGTAAGATATGTAGATTTATCGACCTAACCGTGCAAATATATTCAGTTTTCTTGCGGTTTTTGACAGTTATAGTGGGCGCATCCAACTGATTGCCGTCGGTTTGCTAAGTTAAAACCAAATATAGTCAAGTATAAAAAATGAGAAAAAGATTGTTTGCTACAAAGTCATTAAAATATCTCTTCAAATGATTAGTTTTAGGCTTATTCGAATTGAATGATTATCGATTTGAAAATCTTCTCTATCTATGTTTAGATTAAATAATGTCCTTTTCTGCTTTTTTTACTAATTTTATTTGCATTTTTTGTATGTCTTTTCTTTTGCAGATCCACCCGTTACTGAAATATAATACAAATTAATACAACTACAGCAACTGCAACCACTAATAATTTAAGATATTATCTAATATTTCTTAGGCATATTCTTTATTACGCGTTACATAAATTATTTAAAGTGTTTCTTTTAACGTTTAAAGTTCAGCAAAGAAAAAAAACGAAACATTTCTATTTGGTTTTTCAACTTGATATGTCGGAGGGCTTAAAAACGCTCCTCGAAGCTGCTCAATACATTGAGCAGCAAGAGAAATTAAAATTATCACCATTATCAGCATCAGCTGTGCCAGCTGCTCTACTCAACTCCGACCAACAATCGCGTTTCACAGTGCATGCCTATGATGCAGCAACAACAAATGGCCACCTTATCAATAATAATAATAATAATAATAATAATAGTACAAGTCATAGTACGGTTAACCATAGCATAAATATACGTAATTCCAATATACGTCATGTGGGGTTAGGCGGTGGCAATGCTGGAACAGCGACCACCACCACCACCACCACCCTACAAGTTTCATCATCGGCCCCTGCTGCAGCGGCTACATTTCAACATGTCAATGGTCATCATCCAGCACATCATCATCCCCAACATCAACATGCTGCTTCTTCTGCTGCTGCTATTGCATTAACCAATTCGGCTAATAGTGGCAACAGTGGCGGCAACAGTAACTCTCATCATATACATCAGCAACGCAACAACAATAACAACAACAACAACAACAACAACAATAACAACAACAACAACAACAACAGTCAATTAATAAATGCCAATCATCACGATTATGAATTTAAAGGTAGTAGTGATGGTGGTAGCGCCAGTGTTGGCAGTAACAGCAGCAATTCGATTGCTGTGGTGGCGGCAACAGGTGGTACTGCATCAGTAACGTTATCACCCCTAAATGGCAGGTCCAGTGATGGCCGAGTGTTGGGTAAGTCTTTTGCATCAATTATACATATTTTTTTTCTATGTTATCCATGTTTCGAGTGCCGCTTTCATGTCATATTAACCGAATCGAAATAATAATGAAAAGAACAATAAGTGCTACTTGCTCATTGGTGGCTAAATGAACGCATTCATTAATAAATATACCTGCATTAATACATAATAAATAGGCATCATTATTGGATCCATCGCATTTTAATGCGATAATAGCTGATTTAATTATTGCCGTACGAAATTATAGAACAAAAAAAAAAAAAAATGTCAGATTAGCTTAACATAAAAATGACTTAAGTCCATTAAAATGGTGAGAAAAATAATTTAATCACAAGCTCCTTTGACTATTTGCTTAAAAGGCTAGCGCATGACGTGACATGGCTGTAATAAATACCTTCGCTTAATAATGAAACTGGCTTAAAATTTCGGTCTTTTGAATCTGTTACGGAAGTAAAGGGGGGAGGGAGGCTATAATCATTCTGGCATTCCTGGCATTGTAGCATCTAGTAGTAGGCATCAAAGATTGCGGCATGTTGCGAGTTGAAAAGCATATGTCCCTAACCCGGCATATATTATATTAAATAGGTTTCGCCTTTCTTTTTCAATATCTCGACCAACTTCATCTTATGCTTCAAAGTCAAGTTTACCATATAAGAGGCAAGCATTGTCCTCTCTTGAAAGAGTTTAGTGCTCGATATGCCTATCTGTTTCTCTCAGATGAGGGCCATTAAGAATGTCCTTGCAAATCTCAACAATTCCAAAACTCTAATGCCAGATAGCATTTCAGCCGCAGCTCTAAACACATAATGCCACACTTACCTTTTTCAGCAAATGCTACAATGTCTAGATTTTCCCAACTTGCTAAAAAATTTGCCAATGTCCAATTAGCACCCAAGAACGCCAACCTACCACTTCTGCAAGCTATCGAACAATTGCAATCAGTTCCGCTATAGCCGGAGCGATGTAATTCATGGTCAATTATCACTTGACAAAATATCTAGCATACAGCAATCTAACTAGTGATAGGCGATATGACTTTCGCGGAAATTGTTCCACTGGTGGCCTAATATTCTTCCTCATCAAGTCATTCGTCATTTCACCGAAAGTAAGGCGATTGCGCTGGATATCTTCAGCGCATTCGATAGGGCATAGCATGAAGCTTTTGACTCCTAGCTGCTTGTATTTAGGGTCGGCAGCGTTTTCTCTTGATTTATACAAATTTTTCTAAACAACCCTTTGATAAAAGTTGTACTCTACATGTTTACTTTAAACAAATTCTTCTTAAGCGCCTGTTCTTCCTCCTTTTCCGCTACTGGTGTTCATCAACGATATCCTTTGCATGACAGAAAACCCTATTTACTCGTTTACAGACGACAGAACTTTATGTCACTCGTTCGCTTTCGATAAGAGATCATACAGTATTAAGCTACACAATGAATACTGCACGATAAGAGACGCCCTTAATGAAGACCCTGAAAAAAAAATATCTGAATGGGTTGACAAAAATAGGGCAAATTTGAAGGCCGCCAAAAAACAATGCTGTCTCCTAATGCGCAGAGCAAGGGGTGAATAACCCCTCCCATTCGATAGTGCCAATGTAGATGGATCAGGTAGTCTTGATATTCTAATGGCAAGAATAGAAAACTGCATTCACTGGACAAGACATGTTTACGAAGTGTCGAAAAATGCCATCAAGAGACTAAATTTTTAAAGCAGTGCGAGTAATACTCGGTCACAGTCGATATTCATCTACATCTAAGCAACATATGCGTGCACTTCGTATCGGTGGGCACCGAAGGACACAGATGCTCACGACCGACAATAAATAGTTTGTCTAAAACTTAGGTACGGCTTGCCGGGTGCTCAGATGTAGGTATATCCATAGCAAATGTTCCACAAGATAAAAGAGACCTATTTACCAAATAAATTGTTTTTATCCGGATTAGGCAGTTTACTTTCCATTATCAATTACTCGTTGCGGAATTGTCATCATACCGTGTAAAACACCACCTCAGTTTCGTGTTATTTACCCGCACTGCCTTACTTTAGAACAATTTATCTGCAGTGGCGTTTTCCGTCATTCAAAACATGTCCACTTTCAAGTCAGACGTACATAATTCATCTCCTTTTTTTTTTTTTCTTCCATTCTATCTAATCCTTTCTGACCATGATCACGCTCACATATATACCCTGAGTAATTGATAAACAAAAAAAAAAAAAAAAAAAATTTAAATTGAATTAACAAAAATTGATTAAAACTCTACACAACTAAGCTCCTTACTTGTGGTAAAATCGTGCAGTGTAAATTCAGTATAATTTATGAGAGCTTCTGTAATAACGAAATTAAAAGAAGTTGCAGCTCTCGACAAGCGATAAGGAACATATGATAATTAAATCGTTTAGATATATAGAAAGCTAACGTGTCAAGCGTGTAGCTGAGATCAATTCTTATACATATGCATGAATACGGATTTCTATTAATAATTGTATAAAATTTTACAGGATGGACAAGACTATAAGCATTTATTATAGCTACATAAGAAATACCCCCATATACTCATGTATCCATGATAATAGGATTGTTATAGGAAAGTAGCTTATCGGTTTAAATTCATCACAAATAAATAACTGTGTTTCGATGCTTTCTGTTCTTTCTCTCTCTCTCTCTCTCTCTCTCTCTGCTTTGCTCTTTTGTGTAAGTTGGAATTTTAAAAGTAATCTTCGATAGAGTTACCAAAGCGTGAAACGTAAGCTTTTCGATAGTGGCTTTTATTTTTATACAACATATTAATTTTAAAAAAATATATATATACATATATATATATATATATATTTATTTATTTATGACAATTTTTAAATTCTTTGATTTTTATATTCTGTACCAGTTGTGGTATAAGAGTGTATTAAGTTTGTGTGGATGTATGCAACAATCAGAAAGACTTGAGATAAATCCACCCTTTATTATTCCGATCGATGCAGAATTATTTTCAAATTTGATTTAAGCGTATCTGTGTCCGTCTGTGCGTCCTTCTGGGACTCAACCAACATGTCACAATTTTTCAGCTCTTTTGATAACATTTTGCATACTGACATGTATCGGCCCAATGACGAACTCTTTTCGAACACATACCACATAAGGCATTATCTTGAAGAAAAAAAAAAGTTGTTAGTTAAATAACTCTGCAGTGGGCCGCGGACTACTATAGTATTTTCACTTATTTTATTTTTTTTATTTTTTAAGAGAATCATAATTTTGAAAATAAGCAAAGACAAGTAGCCCTTGTGCCGACCATGACTTCAAACAAATACAAAAACCTTAGCATTTATGATCATCAATCTTAAGCTGATCTATTACCTTTTGATCGACTATGTTTGTGTTTTACATTTTAGATGGCCTATTAAATGTTTGCCCAATATATTAATCGGTAACAACTGAAATCTGTTGAAGAGAGAGCTTGGCAATCGCAAAAATTGTCGTTCCCTATTTAACATCTGGATTAACCATCATAGTTTCTTTAATGATAAGCAGCGTAACATTTCCAAATTCAATTAATTACATCATTCTGTTCGTTTCGCGGCTGTTAAAGCGCTTAGAATTGAAAAAATTGAAATAGAAAGATATAAAATGGCACAGTTCAATTTCGGAAATGGACGGGGACTCGCCATAAAAGTCAAAAGAAAATAATTAAGTCATCGAAGATATTCGACTAAAAGATATATATATATATATATATATATATATCCATTTTGCCGAAATGATTGCAACATTCGAAAATTATTTATTATATTCTTAATTAGTAACAAATCCTGAATCAAACTAAGCAGACGCTTGTCCGCCTATTTAATGTCTGTGATAAGCATTCCCTGAGTTGCAAAAATGAAGATTTCAGCTTCAAAGTTGACAAGGAGCTGGAAATAGTTTGCTTTGCAACTTTGGTTTAGGCATTTTTTGCTTAATACTAAAACTGCTAAATACACTATCAAAATTTTCATGTGTGTTCTATAACTACGTCAAAGATCTGATACGCCTACTCAATTTTTCTTTTACTCAACTTTTTTCTCTAGTCTTTCTTAAGATAAACGGTATGGGATGGGTGCAAAAGGTTCCGTCTTAGCCGTATAGAATTTTCGGTTTCTCACTTGTCATGCACTGGTTTAAGATGGTGGAAGCGAATTTTGTGAAGTCTTTAATTTTCATTTATCATTTTGATTGAATATTCATATTATTGAGTGAGTTTGTTAGAGACGTTCACATAACTGAGGAAATTGCAATAAAGCCGAAAATGTAATTTATTTGAGAAGGTTACCCTGCAATATAAGAACAGTTTGTTTTTGTTTCTCTTTTGCTTTTTTTCGTGCTGCTCGTGCTCTTTTTTTTTGGCAAACGACAAAAATATATGCTTCCAAGTGGTAAAATTATTCTCTTTAGCGCTGCACTCATTCATTTGTATGTGTGTGCTTGTTTAGTGGTGGTTGTTAAAGCATTTGCATTGGCTTTACTATTAAATAGGAAATTACCGCAAAGAAGAAGGCGTTATTAATAACAATTGTTTGCTTTCCGTATGGTGTTTGGGTGCGTGAATGCATGCGGTTGAAAAGCAACAGAAACTTGTTTTGACCTTGTTTACAATATACATACATACAATCGCCAGATGCTATCACACATGTTGTAAGTTATTGGTTTCTTCTTCTTTTTCAATGCAAGATACCGAAAATAGAAGAAATGAGAAGAAATCATAAAAAAAAAAAATAAATTAATTCGATTTTTGTCTAAAAAAGTTTACTAGCTATGCATGCATAGATAGATATAACGCGATTATATTGCAATGAATAATACAAGAATTTCAAAATAAAAAAAGCATTTTCTTAAGCAAAAAAACAAAAAAGTAACGAAGTAAATAAAAATGTAAGGCCACGTGTTGTTGTATTTAAAAAAAAAAAAAAATTAAAAAAAAAAAAAAAATTCAAGCAAATACATATCTTGTTTTTCTA